TAAAAAAAAAAAAAAAAAAAGAAAAGAAAAAAAGAAAATATATTAATTAACTGTGATGTGTGAGTATGAGAAATGGCACTCAATGTCTGGGTATGTCCTTATGTGTTGGGATGGAGCTGAGGGTTATATGAAGATGCTTGTCCATCTTATTAAGGTCATATTTTGTTAGAAATCACAATTTTAAGTTATTACCATCACCTTCCTTGGTCTCTGTTCAGCAGACTGGCCCTGAGGTGTCTTAAAACACCCTCATCCAGGAGAAATCACTGCTCTGGTCTTTCTGGTCTTCCCCCTCTTGCTGCACAGGCACAGCTTGCTCAGCAAGAAGGGATTTTATTAGGAAGAAGTGGTTGTAGTGATGGAAGGGGAAGCAATCCACTGTGGGACAGTGGAGAGAGCCACTAATTGGGTTATCCTTCATTATCAGTCTGTGCAGGGATGCATGTGCAGCCTTGTGCTGCTGTCCAGCTTGAGGGGCTGGGATATGGGGTGGTGATCACCAGGATCCAGGGCCCCACATCCCCCAGCTGTGCTTTCAGATTTGTTGTTTTTAAGCTTGACCTTTGCGTTTTCAAGAAACTCCCTCCTGTGTTGCAATCCAAAGCTTTTAGGGCTGCTGTGGTGCCGTGGAAGCAAAAGTGCTTTGTGCTAAGTGGGTCTTAAAAAACAAACCCCAGAGCAGCCAGCTCTTATTTTTTTTCATCCTGTTAATTTTCATCCCAGTGAAACAATTGGACAGGATATAGCTTTGATTTATTTTTTTTAAAGCTGATGGTAAGATGCTATTTTGTGGAAACAGGAAGTCAAAACAGATTTTGGCCATAGTCTTCATCACCCCTCTCTGATCATGGTGGAGCATGATCTGTGGCTCAAAACTGCTCTGTTCTTCTTTCTTCTGAAATCCTGTTTTAGAATAAAGCACATGTGTTTTTTTCGTCTTTTATTTTTTTTTCTTTTTGTCCCCTCTCCTCTTACCAGGTATTTCCCTGCAGTGTCTCTGGGCCTGGACTCTCCCTGCACCTTCAAACCTTCTCCAAGGATTGCATGGTGGCAAGGTGAGACCCCTCAAAACCCTTCCCAGTCTCACTCTTCCCCGTCCCTTTCCCCTCCTGCGAGCCTCTGGGAGGGATCTGCAACATGAAGTTTCCATTTGGAGCTGGCAAATTCTCGGTATGCTAATTTCTAGGAAATGTGGCTGGGGATCGTGTGGTTGGTGAAACCCTAGCATGTGTGATACCTGTCTGTCCTCAGCCCAGGGTCATACATCTGCATCCCATTGTGAATTTTCACCGATTTCTCAGTGTTGGGAGGCAGCAATGCCTGTGGTGGAGAGGGAATTGTAAAATTCAAAGGCTTGTTTTTATTTATTTCTGTGCTTCTCTGACCCATCCGTGTTTATATCCCAGGGAAATGGAGCAGTGTGGATGTTCAGAGGAGGGAGGATGGTTTATCCTGGCTTCATTTATAGCCTTAAAACATTAATCTTGTGGGTAGTAGCAGCAACAGGAAAGCAGGATCTGCTTGGGGTGTCAGAAACACCCAGGGGCTTTCGCACAGAGTAATTAATTAATGCCCTCCCTGTATCCAGAGTATGCAAACATAAAGATTCAGGCTCTGACACCAGCAGCAAGCTTGCTGTGCTCAGTGACATAACTGCCTGCTCACTATTTAAACCTTGGGGAATAGCAGATATAATTTTTTTTTGCCCTACAACTGTTTGTTTCAAATTAATTGGGATTTTGGCCTCTGGCCAGCCTCTTCCTGTCTCTCCAAATGGGACATAAGTGGGAGCAGTGCACTCTTTTCTCTAACCTAGTTGGAGCTGTTTTTGCTGGACAGAGAAGCCATGAGCTCTTTCATAACGTGGGCCACATCTTAATAGCCGGGTCTTGTGGGCTCCATCCCTCCCACTGCTGCTGACGCAGAGCGTCTCCCCTCCCGCCCGCCTTGGCCAGCTTCCCTGGATGACTCCTCTAATTGCTTACGTAGAAAAATAATGAGAAGGATGCGTAGGGTGTATTTTTAGATGTCTCTTGGTGGGATTTAGCAACTGGCAAGCCGGAGCCAGTACCTCCCTGTCCGTCTCCTGCATCCAGAGGTGGCTGCTTGGTGGACTTGGGGAGGTTCTGTCCAGGAGCTGGTGATTCTTGGGCAAGCTTCTCTGCTTTTTTTGGGCTTCTTCTGGTCCTTATGGGTGGGATATGGATGATGTCTGCCTGGTGCTGAGGAGGGTCTGTGCTGGGAATCCCTGAGCTGGTGCACGGTGCTGATGCCATGCCTGTGCTGGGCACCACCACCTCCTCACTTCTCTCCAACAGGAAGGCCGTGGTGGCTTCCCACCCAAATCATTGAATCACGGAATGGTTTGCATTGGAAGGAAACCTTAAAGGCCATCTAATCCAGCCCCTCCACCATAAGCAGGGTCACCTTCCACTAGATGAGGTTGCTGAGGGCTCTGTCCAAACTCACCCAAATGTTCCCAGGAATGGGGTGTCCATCACCCTTTAGGGTAACCAGTGCTTCACTACCGACATCATCAAACATTTCTTCCAAATCCATGGCACATATTCCAATAAATACCTGTGAGATAATGGGTCTCACCACATGTTGCTTTGCTTTGTAAATGCTTTTTTTTTTCAAGATGTTCCCATCTGAAACCCCAGCAGCGCAGAGGAAAGGGAGCAGACACAGAATGCCATTAAATATCACCCCAAAGACTGTGATAATTGAGCCTTGCAACAAGTAGTTCCCTTATTTTTCTCTCTGCTTCTTCCATTTCAGGGCTCTTTGTGTCTCGGTGGCTTCCTGTGCTGGGGGGGCCGGGCTCCAGTCCTTCCCTTTCCACCCGGGTGTGAGGAAAGCAATTCTTCTTGCAGAGCGACTTATCTGTCCTTGGAGCTGAAAACATCCTTTCTTTGCTCTTTCTGAATCCCCTAAATGAATGATTTCTCCTGCTGGTTAGCATCAGCTTCCACGCTGAAGACTGTGGGAAAGTTTCACAATTAGAGTGGCTTTAATAGATCTGGTTTATGTCTTAAAAAACCCATCGCTTTCTAATTCTCCATTACATGTTTCCTTGATGATGTGTCGCCCAGCAGTGCAGCTACCAAAATAGCCCCATGGTCTGAAGGAAATCATCAGGAAATATGTTTTTGAAACTGTAGGCAATTCTTTTTTTCACCAAGAACCATTGGAAAAAGTCTGTGTTCAATGGAAAACGTGGCTTTTCTGGCACCTTGGCGGCTTATGTGGTGACATTTGGGAGCACAGTGCTCCAGTTTGTCCAGAAACCCCCTCAGTTCCTTAGATTCTTGCTGTGAGTTTTCTCTTTATCCACCCAAATAGCTGGCATTCTTTTGGTGTTGGGTTTGCTTCAATTTTTGGGGAAAATTTTTGCTTGTGCATTGTCATGCAGGAAAGACACCCTTTCCTCTTCCAGCACCTCCTGTGGTCCTGCCAGGCTGAGGGAGTGTGTGCTGTGTCCCCCCAGGTCTAAGGAGACCATGACCACTGATGAGGCCACCAAGAGCGAAGGGGAGGTGCAGACAGCAGCTCTGGCTGAGCGTGGGGAAGACATCACACCGTCCAAGGACCGAGGGGTTCTGAAGGTAAGGGGGATCTGCTGAGAGTGTCCCACCTTCCTGTGCTTTGGGGTGCATGGTCACCTCGCTGGGCTGCATCCCCAGCCCTCAGGGTCACAGTTCCAGGGCTGTAGGATTGAGTTCTTTCATTTCAAAGGCAAAGGGGATGAGCATTGCTTGAGTAAAAGAGGATGGAGTGGTGCTTGAGGCTGATGGGACCAGGCTGCTCCCTGAATTTCACTGCTATTGTGTTCCCAATCAGATTATTAGCTGTAAATCCACAAAGCATTTCTGTGTGTGACTCACAGACATTAGAAAGAACACATTACTGAGGTCATCCAGTCTGCTCCACAGCCCTTTTTTCATATTCAGGGCGATTTCTGGATAGTTCTGCTCCTCAGCACTTACACTTCTCCACTTGAATAGGACCTTTCCTACAAGAATAGCATCCTCCCCTGCTCCATCCTCAGCTCGAGAACTGCTTGTTCCCGGCTGCAGTGTTCAGAAAAAAGTGTTGACAAGGAGTGAGTAGTGAACTGACACACCCCTGTGAGTAAAATGTGTACGGACAGAGAGCGAGTGGAGCTGCATTCACTGCAGGTTTGGAACCAGGGTGTTTATCTACCCAGTATGGACTGCTCTCTGCCCCCAGCCCTGTCCAGCTCTATTGCTGTGGTTCCAGTTTGAGATTTGTTTTTAGGAGCTGATAAAGAGCAAATTTAGGGGCAAACTGAATAGTTCCCCCCTGAGCTTTCCTGTTATTTAGGGCAGCACTGGGGTGTACGTGCATGTATATATGTATATATTTTTATGTAAATGCACATGTGTGTATCTCTCTCCCCCTCCATATGCATCCTTTGGCCCCAGCTCATGGCTGCTTTCTCTCTCTCAGATAATTAAGAGGCCTGGGAGTGAGGATGAGTTTCCCATGATCGGAGACAAGGTTTATGTGCACTACAAGGGAAAACTGGCCAACGGGAAAAAATTTGACTCCAGCCGCGATCGGAATGAGCCTTTCATCTTCAGCTTGGGCAAGGGTGAGCTGGTCCAGGGGTGTCCTTCCATGGGATGGTGGAGGGTGGGATCACCCTGGGGCAGGAGGATCAGCTGACCCTGTTGCTGCACAACTGTGTCAGCCCTGCCTTTCGTGACTTGTGAATGTCGGGGTTTTTTTGGGTGCCCAAAAAAAGGTGCACCTTGCCGCACCCAGGCTGTGTTTTTTCCCAGGATGCTGGTTTCTCCCTCCTGCCTGACATCTGCCTTTCTTCTAGGTCAGGTAATCAAGGCATGGGACATTGGGGTAGCCACCATGAAGAAGGGAGAGATCTGCTACTTGCTCTGCAAACCCGAGTACGCGTACGGCTCTGCTGGGAGTGCCCCCAAAATCCCCTCCAATGCCACCCTCTTTTTTGAGGCAAGTAATGCTGGTGAGCTGGTGTGTGGATGAGCAAGCTCACTCCCTTTCTGCCTTGCCAGCCAGCTCAGAAATAAAAATTTTTAAATTAATAATAATAATAATAGTAATAATAGTAATAATAGTAATAATAATAATAGTAATAGTAATAATAATAATAATAATAATAATGATAATTAAAAAAAAAAAAAAAAAAACCCAAAGCCCAAACAACAACAATTAAAAAAAACCAAAACCTCACAACAACAACAAAAAAAACAACCAAAACCCAGCTTGGATTCCTGAAACGTGTCCCTCTGCTCCAGGAAGCGCTGCCAGGGCTTTCTCAGAAATGAGTGTCTGAGCTGGAAGGCTGGGACTGAAACTCCAGCTTAGCAGAGTCCTGGTGCCGGGGCGGGGAGTGGGCAGATTCCTGGTTTCAACACGCTCATGGGAAGGAGAAAGCAGCTGGGAAATGCCTCCAGGTGCTAAAAATCCATTAGTGCTGAGGGGTGGTAGGAAAATTAAGCTTTTGGCACAGAGGGCTCCCTGGGCAGGGCTTGTTGGGACACAGCAGGAGGAGGGAGTCTGTCCTAAATTAAGGCTCAGGTCTTCCAAGTGGAGTGTGGACTAAGCTGAGGCTCAAAGCTGCTCCCATCAGAGGATGAAGAGGAAGCTTCTGCCCACACTGGGAGACTTGCACAGCATCTTCCAGCAGCAGCTGTGTTGTACCTTAACAGGTTCAATAAACTTATTTTTGCTGTTACTTTGTGTTATGCTTCAGGTACTGGATGTGTCCCAGTTTCTAATTAATCGCGTGTATTATGCTGTGGTTTGGATCTGGGTTTTTTGGGCAACTTCTGCTCATCAGCTGAACGGAGAATTAGCTGGCTTGGTTCTCCAGCCAGGGGATGAACTGCTGCTTTGTGGCTCTTCTGTTGTTTTTCTCTTCTCCTTTCCCCCTCCCTATGCTCTGCCCACTTTTTCTTTATTATTTTTTAGGTCGAGCTGCTTGACTTCAAAGGTGAGGACTTGTTTGAGGATGGAGGAATAATCCGGAGGATCAAGAGGAAGGGAGAAGGTTACTCCAACCCCAATGAAGGTGCTACCGTGGAGAGTGAGTGCTGTATCCGCTGTGGGATAACTGGAGGGATCAGCCTGTCCTGAGCTGATCCCTGGCGAGAAGCTGCTGGGAGTGCACAGGCTGAAGGTGGCCATGCATCCTGGTGGGATGCAGTTACATCCATCCAGAGGCTAGATGGGATGGAGAGCGGCTGGGGATGCTCCTCTGAGCTCTCCTTGGCTGGCCCCTGTGGTGGCCCTGCCAGAGCTGCTGCCCTGCAGGGCTGGGTGGAAAAGCAGCAGCTCAGGAAAACTTCTGAGCTGCTCAGGCAGCGGCTGAGGGGAGGATGGAAGCAGCAAACCCCCGTGGGGTTTCAGGGCTCTGTCATCCCCCCTGACCCTTCTGCATCCCAGTGCAGTGTCCAGGGTGCTCTGGGATGTGCCATCTGCCAAAGTCCCTGGCTCTGTCTTGCCTCCAAAACATCAGTTGCCAGCCCTTTCTCCCTCGACACTTGCTAAGGATTTTGGACACTCAGCAGTTTCTTTGGCCTCATTCCAATGTTGATGGTATTTTTGGGAGGTCTTATCACATCTCTCACAGAATGGGGCTTTTTCCTTCCCTTATGGGCACAGGACTGTTGATGGTGAGGGGAAGGAAATTATTACAAGGGGTTTGCTGAGGCTGGGGTGGTATCAGCTGACACGGGAGGATGAGGAGCTCACATCCCATTGGGCTCTCCTTCTTCTGGTCCCATTTCTGGAGCAGACATTTCATGGGGCTGGGCAGGGGAAGGCAGACTGGGATTTGGGGGTTTTTTCTTCCCAGGAACTGCTCAGACACACACACAAAGCTTGCTCCATATGGGAGGTATTTACTTTCTTTTCTTAATTCCAGAGGTCCTGTACACAAAGATTCTAAAGTCCCTTTAGTGACTGAGAAATTGAATCTGAGCTGTGAGACCTTATAAAGCTCACGGCTTTAAGTGGCTGGTTCTTCTAATGAGACTCTCTTTTAGGAAAAAATGAGATTTTGTCTCAGATTCTACTGTCTGAGTGGTGGTCGCTGTGCTGGGGGTGGCACAGCAGCTGTGGGGACACAGAGTCCACCCTGCGGCAGGGCTGTGATGGTTTACCTCAGCTGTGTATTTTGGGAGGTGCTGGAATTAGGCTGAAAGAAACCATGCTTCCAGGAGCAAGTACCTCCGGGTTTTTATAGGCTTTAACTTTTACAGACCCTAAATCCCAGTTCTGGTCCTTAAAACCTGTGCTGCAGTTGAAATCTGGCATTCCAGCTTTTTTACATCCTTTCCCCCCCCCACCCCTCCTCCTTCTCCGTTTTTAATCTGAGTACAAATTGCTGTCAGCACATCAAGTTCGTGTGCCAGCCGCACTCAGTACACTCTGTTCTCAGCTCTTCAAAAACAAAATCGCTGCAGGCACTGAGAGAACAATAAGTCAGAGCTGCAACCGGAGTGATGTTCCTTTAGTGACTTTTTTTTCTCTGTAATCCAAGAGCGGCTGAACCAGCTGACCCACTCCTGGAAACCTGAGCAGAGATTTTCTCCCCTGTGCTTGGTGTATTTTCTGTGCAATTAAAACAGAGCAGAACTATCCTTGGAAGGAAAGATCACAACATCCCCTTGTGCATCCTGTTTTAAAGTGAATCTTCCCATTAACACCACATCCCACAGGGGATGTGGGACCTGGGGGAGCTGTAGTGCTGCTTTTGGGATCAAGGATTATGGGTCTGTGCTTGCTACGAACGTGCAGGGAGATGCATGGTGCTGTGGGGTGGCTGGGTTACCTGTATTTTAGGCAGAATTTTCCACATTTTCTGTGCCTAAAAAAACCAGCCAGCTTGGTTTTGGGTAGTGCAAAAGCAGAGGTTGTCCCCAGAGGAGCTGGATTTGCTTTTTGTCCTCATCCCAAGCTGGGTGAGCTCCCAGCAACCTGACTGCTGTGGCCACTGTGCACCAGTGATGGATGCAGGAAGCTGGCAAGCACCTGAGCATCCTCTGCTTGAGTCCCAGCATGGCTTTGGTGGCAAGAGTGGGGTGACAAGGCAGAGCCTGATGTTCTGCACCTGCAGTGAGGAACACACCCCCCCCCCCCCCATCCTTTGGGTCTCTTATGGCAGCTGGACCTGCCCTTGGAATGAGGGCTGCCACATCTGCCTTGGTCCATGTCTCTCATCCTAAGGATTTTTGTAGGTCCCAGGGCAGGAGATGGACACAGATTTCCTTCAGCCCAGGCTGCAGCTCTCCTGTGCAGAGCCCAGACCCTCACAGCTGTTTCTGGTACCCAGCTTGTCCTGCCCCTCACCTGCCACCACAGCAGGATGCTCAGTGCCCTGCAGCATCTCAGGTTGCATTCTGTTCCCCTCAAGCTCATGTCTTTGCAAGCTGTAAAACCTTTAGGCACAGTTGTGAATTTCTCCTCTTGCAAAGCTTTTTTTTGTTGTTGTTGTTTGTTTTGGCTTTTTTTTTTTAACAGTATGTAGGAGTTCCTTGTGAAATTGCTTTTACTTAATGCTTGCCTGCATGTGTGTATGCCTTTTACCCTGCAAGCAGAATGCAAAGGCTGCAAAAGCATCCCTAAAGCCTGGAATGTCTTCAGGTTTGAATAAATAAATAAAGAATAATCTTGCTGTGGAAAGGCAGCCAGGAGCGCCAGGTGGTGAATGTGCCAGGTACCCAGTGTCCACTCCGGCTGCGCTTCTGCCAGCGTCTGGGGCTGGAACAGCACGGCTCCTGGTTGAAGATTAAAAATAAGTTTATCTTGTACTTTGAGTTCTCAGAGTTGGGAGAACATGGCCTTGTTTTCGAGGCAGGAGTCAAGGCAGTATAGCACAGTATAGAAGATTTGTAATCACCGTGATAAACTCTGTGTGGCGCCATGCCAGGAGCAATATCCAGTTCCAGTAAGACTTGACTTGTGCACTTGAGTACAAGGGGAACATATTAGTCATGATGTTTATCTGTTGTTTGGTCCTGGATTAGACGAGATATGCCTGCCTTGCTTTTAAGCAATGTTCCCAAGCCTTCCCTTCTCCAGCTCTGGGTCTTCCCTCTTCCAGGGAAATCTTCTGAGTTTTGGCAAAGATGCTTTATAAAATGCTTTCTAAGACACTTTGGAGCCCACCTTTCTCCAAGGTTTGGGTGATTCTGGGTGCCATCCTGCCTCTCTTTCCCCCTCTGCAGTTCACCTGGAAGGATTCTGTGGCACCCGCAGGTTTGACTGCAAGGATGTGAAATTTGTCGTGGGTGAAGGGGAGGACCATGACATCCCCATCGGCATTGACAAGGCCCTGGAGAAGATGCAGAGGGGAGAGCACTGCATCCTCTACCTCAGCCCACGGTGAGAAGCATCTCCACAGGGGTGCTGGGTGGGTCTCAGCTGCCAGCACATGTGAAAGATGGTGATCCTGAAAATAGGATGCTCCAGGACAGTCTCAGAGAGCACCAGTTGCATGTAAACAGGAATACTGAGATGCTTTAAACAAAACAGGTGAAAGGGCTTTATCCAAGTCCAGTGTCTGAGATGAAAATGTCTCCCTAGAAATGACCAGGGCTGGAGAGAAACCTCTGTAAAAGAAGGCTGTGATGTAGCCAGAAGGGGTAATTCCCAAGATGTGCATTGTATATCCACAGGGACCTTTGCTCATGGAGAGTAACATCACCCTGTCCCCAAAACGTTAGAAAGCCATGGGTGGCAACCTGGGTCTGCATTTCTGGGCAAGCTCTGCTGAAAATGAGTTTTTTTTCCTCCTTCTCTGAGTGCCTCCTCCTGTCCTGCAGGTACGGCTTTGGCGAGGCTGGGAAGCCAAAATACGGCATCCAGGGGAATGCAGAGCTGGTGTACGAGGTGACCCTGAAGAGTTTTGAGAAGGTGAGGGCAGAGGAGCTCCAGTCCCTCCCCAGGTTACAGGAGGGTTACAGGAATGTCAGGGCCTGTGTAGCCTCCAGCCTTTGTCCCTGGTGTGGCTGCAGCCCAACCCCTGCTGAAGTGGACACGTCACCGAGGAGCTTCGAGTTCTTAATTTGTTCTTCTCTGTTAGTTTGTTTTATTCTTGTGGCTGAGGCCCAAGGCTGGGTGTCTTTATTTGTTCTTAACCTTGTCCTTTTGTACTTTCTTTTTATTGTAATATTATTTTTTCCTTTTTTTTCCCCTCTTCTTTTTTCCTTTTTTTTTTCTCATTTTTTCTCCCTTTTTCTCTTATTTTCTCCTCTTTCCTCTTCTTTTTCCTTTCTCTCATTTTTCTCCTTTTTCTGCTTTTTCTCTCCTTTTTTCTCTTATTTTTTTTCTTTTGCTTTTATTTTCTTCCCCTTTTTTTCTTATTTTTTCCCCATTTTTTTTCCCCTTGGGCTGCACAGATAAAAGCTGGTACATCCAGCCAGCCCTGTGGAGCTTGGCTGTGTCCATGAGAAGTCTGGGGGTGCAATGCAGGAGAAGTCCATGGGATTTGCACATCCCTAGATAGATCCCCTGCCTGTGGCATCACTCTGGCCAAAGCAGGGGCAGGACCTGTCCCCAGGCTCTGTGGTGCAGCCCTGGTGAGCCCTGAGTGTGACCATGCTGTCCCAGAGTTGTCCTGCTGGGGCAGGGGAGGCTGCTCTGCTCCCCTGGGAGTGCTCCAAGTGTTCATTTGCAGGCCAAGGAGTCGTGGGAGATGGACACCAAGGAGAAGCTGGAGCAGGCAGCTGTGGTCAAGGAGAAGGGCACAATGTACTTCAAGGTTTGTAAACTGGGGGGTGGCAGAGGCAGAGGAGGGGAGCTGGGACTGAATTTGGCAGCCATCAGTGTCAGGGAAGCCATGTGCCCCCGGATAGGGCTAGGGAAGGTGAGTCCTGTCCTCCCTCTGCCTTTTTCTCACTCCTTGATGCTCCCCAAGATATCTCATCCTTTCCCAGCATTGCCTGGGCTCTGTGTGCTCCCTGCAGAGCAGGACAGCAGACCAAACCCTTCCCAGGCCAGGGCTAATGCTGAGGGGTTTTGCATTCCCCTTCCCAGCTGGGGCTTCCCAGCTCCCCACTGTTCTGACTGAGCTTTTCCCAAACCTGCTGGTTCTGTAGGAGTTGGGATCCTCTTCCTTGCCTGTATTTATTGAACACCCCACATTACCCTTGTCACCAGCTCATGGGACATTCCAGGGGCAGACTGAACCTCTTTTTGCTCCTTTCAGGAAGGCAAGTACCTGCAGGCAGTGATTCAGTATGGGAAGATTGTATCCTGGCTGGAAATGGAGTATGGCTTGTCTGAAAAGGAGTCTAAAGCCTCTGACTCCTTCCTACTGGCTGCCTTCCTCAACCTGGCCATGTGCTACCTGAAGCTGCGAGAGTATGCCAAGGCTGTCGAGTGCTGTGACAAGGTAGAGCTGCACTGATGCTGTCCCTTCTGGCTCGCCAGAAATTGATGCCTTTATGGGCTACCTAAAAACAGAGGCCAGAAATTAAGAGAATAAAAAGCAGTTATATTTATTGAAGGTCCTTCAGGTACGTTTAAGGCAGATGAAGCCCCCCCCCAGGGGCTACACCCAAGAAATGGATGATGGGTCAAGGGTTTTCACACTCTTTTATAGAAGCCCATTTGAATATTGGGGGTTAATCTTCCAATTCCAGCTTCAGGTAATAAAGTCATTTACCCCATGTTTGCTCACCACAACTCACTTTTGTTTCCATCTCTCGGGGCCTGAGACAGTGAGGTGTCCTTGATTCCCAGGCCTGGAGAGGAATTGTTTTGTCAAAATGGGAAAGCAGCAGCAAAAACTGTATATGGAGTTTAGAGTTATACACTAAAGAATTTCAAGATTACAAATATATGAAAAATATAAAAGCTAAAATCTTAAGGTATCAGCACGAGCCTGGGGGATGGAGCGTCCTCTTCCTCCTGCATGTTCTCATTGTGAGTTTGGTGGGGCTTTTTAAAATTTCTTGTCATATAAGAAGAAATTAAGAAGGGATGGTGGCATCCCTTCTGCACCTGGGGGTCCCTGTGGACACTGAGTGCTCAGAGACTGCAGCACTACAAGGGCTTTAGGGGTTCAAAATCCACTTGGGCATGCATTTACAGCAGCTTTTCTTCCAAAGCTAGATCTGTGTGAATGGATCTGTGTAGAATGACAACCTTGGGATGCTGTTTGGGTCTGCCCAGGCTGGGGCTGGGCAGTCAGTTCTGCTCTGGGTGTGACACAGGCAAGTCCACCAAGGGGTGGGATGGGGCTTTGCCACTCCCTAAAAGATCTTTGACCTTGTCTTTGTCAGGAAACTCTGGAAAAAGGAAAAGAAAATTCTTTTATAAAAGGCTTAGATTTAAGCATCTTGTATATGGGAAATACATGAGATATTTGTGTTAGTCTAAAAGATAAATCACTGAGGTGATTTATATGAGCCTGAGGTGTATATATAACTTTTACTAAAAGAAAACATCATTGCTAAAACAGGGAGACAAAAGGGCTTGGATTTAGTCTTTACACCTGATCTCTTGCCTGTGGGTTTTTGTCTCAAACTGATTGCTTAAAACAGGGTGTTTTAAGCAAGGAGAGATAATAAAACTGTATTAATGATCTCCAAACTGCTGATGGAGATGAGCCAATTTTTGTTGAGCAAGATGCAAGTGCTCTGGAGATTTGAAGCCACCTTGTCCTGATTTTCACAGATTTATTGAGGCTTCAGCTGTAGGGGATCTCTTGGGAGGGCTCTGAGATGTTAACAGAGACTTGTGTGTATTTCCAGGCTCTGGGATTGGACCAGGACAATGAAAAAGGCTTGTACAGGAGGGGTGAAGCCAGGTTATTGATGAACGAGTTTGAGCTGGCCAAATGTGACTTTCAAAAAGTGCTGGAAGTGAATCCACAGAACAAAGCAGCGAAATCCCAGATCTCTGTGTGCCAGAAGAAAACAAAGGAGCACAACGAGCGGGACCGGAGGATCTACGCCAACATGTTCACAAAGTTTGCAGAAAGGGATGCAAAGGTGAATGTTGCTCATTTTTGGCCATCCAGGGTTGCGCTGAAGGATGCTCGACAGGTTTGTGACAAGAAGAGATGGGTTAAACCAAATTCAATTATAGATCAGGTTGAGGATGGAGAGATAGAGCCTGCTGCAGTGGAACTTCTTGGTCTTTCTTATGCAGAGGCTGCCATCAGATGCTCAATCATCAATAAAAGCATTTGCAGTGTGAGCTGACAGGGGCTGATAACAGAGTCAGCATTGGTATTTAATTTTGCTGCTCCCAGCTAGTGATTGTTGATGAGCTCTGGTCACTGGTAAAATGAAGTATGATTCCATCTCTGGCAGGGATATTTTGAGATATGATAGTGTGGATTTCCTGAAGCTGGTAAGGCAATACTTGCCCCTCTGCTCAGGCAGAGAGATCACTGTCTCAGAACAGGCTTGCATCCAAAATTCCACTGAACAAAACCCGGTGTACTGTAATGAGAGAGGACACAGCTTTGCAGGCCATCTGCATGGGTCATTTTTAGTATAATCTCTTCTGAAGTGGTGTCTGGAGGTTGAGGCTGTGGATTAAGTGACTGGTACAGCCCCTGGGGAGCAGCATGCTGGGGCAACCAGCTCAGGCAAGGAGTGGGGCCAACGTGGCCAGCTGCAGGCACTGTGCTTGGCTTGTGTGGCCAGCTGTGATGGGCACAGTCACTGCTGGAGCAGCCATGAGGCTTCTCTGTGCCTGAGTGCTCCTCTCCTGCACCCTCTTGATGGGCTGCACCTGTGGCTCAGTCCTGTATCTCCAGTCTGACACTGCTGCCTTACCTCCTCATCCTTCTCTTCCCTGTCCATCCATCCATCATCCATCCATCATCCATCCATCCATCCATCCATCCATCCATCCATCCATCCATCCATCCATCCAGGCTCACTCTGTGTCCACACACTGCTTGTGGTGGGATGGGTCACACCATCCCCAGGGGTCCCACACCTTCCCCAAAAGCTGCCTGAGCTGTGAGCTTTATCCTTCACCAGCCACTGAGTCAAGGAAACTGAACCCTCCAGTGTGAGCGGCACTGCTCAGTGGGCACAGGGGAGTTGTGGGGGACAATTTTGCCTCTCCCTTTCCAGGCTGGGCTGCCTATGCCTATTCCCAGCACCCCTGTCATTTGTCTGCCCCTCCTCTCTCCCGTTTCCAGCTCAGTGTGTTTTATTTGTTGTTTGGCAGGAAGCAGCCGGCAAAACTGGTGTGGAAAAAACAGCGGAGAAGGCGGCTTGTGAAAAACGACCTAAAACTGATGCTGAAGGTGAAGAGGCTGAAGGACACGTATGATGGAGGAGGAGGGGATGGGAGAGCCTTGTGCCCTCGGCCCACACTGAAAAGGTTGCTGCCAAACCTTGGGACTTGCCAGTGTTTTCTTGTAAAGCTTGTTACAGTCTGTGTGATCGTGGAAGCAAAAAGCACCTCGCAAAGAAAAGTGACCCCATCCCACCGTCCTGGGTGCACTGGGGGCAGAGCAAGAGTGGCAGGACGCCATGGGACCACCGCACGTGGAACAAATAGCATTTAAACAGCAGGAAAAAGAAAAAAAAATATTATAATGATAAATTAAAACTCTTGGCTCCTTGGAGGTTTCCGTAGACAGCTTGTTCCAGCTCCCTAGGCTTTGTGTCCACTCTCAGCACAGCATCCTGTGAGAGGAGCTGGGATGTAGGACATGCTCCTTGTGCACTGCAGTGCTGCCTCTGGCTGTCCCAGGGATTGGCTTTGCCTCCTGTGGCCAAAGGGGTGGCAGGGCAGAGCCAGGATGAGAACCCACACGGCCTCTGCTGCAGCCCCTGCGTGCATCAGTCTTTAAAGCACTGTTTGGGGAGGGGAGGCCACACAGATTTTACATTCTGAAGGAGCTGGTTCGTGTGTCTTTAGAGAGCAAAAGCCTGTCCAGCTTTGCAGGTGCCCAACCCACAGCCTGCACCCCATCCCTTGGCTCCTGGCTTTAAAAGTTTTATTGCTTTTATTGGGATCTGTATGTGGGGAAAATAAAGGAGCAGGTTGACATGTGGTTCAGAAAGCAAGTGGCTGGGTCTGAGCTGGTGCCATGGGTTTGTCACTGAGCAGCTTTCCCATGGTGAGGGGGTCCCAGGTGCATCGTGTCCCTGCACTGGGGCTGCTGCTACCTCCTCAGCCATCAGTCCTCTCCATCCTCAAGGGACAGTGTCACTACCCCATGAGAACAGCTTTCCAGTTGTTATTTTTCCTGTCTATAATAATACCCTTTTTGGAGATTGAAAATAAACAACTGAAAGAAAAAGGGAAAAAAAATTAAAAAGTACTCTTTCTCTGGATCCTGCTCAGCAAATGACGTGGCTGTGGGGAGGATGGATGTGTACTCCTTGGGGGGAAGATGCCCCAGCAGTTGAGGAATTATTGGTGTCTCCAAGAGCTGGTGCTGCCCCTTTTTATCAGTGCCATTGTTCTCTGGAGAGCCAGCCAAGGGTCAGCAGTCCATGCTTTGGAAATGCCTGGCTGGGGGATGCTCTTTGGGGTCTCAGCTGTTTTTCCAGCCTGGGAGGTTTATCTTTATGCTTTTTTCCCTGCCCCACAGTGTATTCTTTTGGGAGGGGTTTTCCTGAGCTGGGTGGGTTGAGGAGTCATTTGTGCCCCTTGACTGAGGTGTGGAAAGAGAGCAGAAAGCTGAGCCAGTGGGGTATTAGGACTGCCCATCCCTGTTTTATACCCTTTCTCCACAATCTTGGGAGACTAAGCCAGTTTGGGTTAAAATTCCTCTTCTCTAGTCCCATCAGGTGGTACCTGAAGAATCATTTCTCAAGCCTGTCAGTTTTCCCACCTGCAGCAGTGGCACAGCATCCTCACGGCTGCTCCAGCTGCTCATCCAGGGCTTGGGTTTCCTGCCACCATGGCATGCACCTCCCTGGAGGCTGCTGTGAGACCCAGGGCCTCTGCAAAATGTGGGCTTTTTGTTTTTTCTTGCAGGGCAAGAGTCCTTTGGGGGCAGCCCAAGCCACATTTTTCATAGGAAACTACAGGAAAAAAAAAACAACCAAAAAAACCAACTTGCTTTGCAGTTTCTGGGCTTGCTCCCCATTTTTAAGCAAATTTTTGATTTGTTTTGGCTTGGTGCTTTTGGAAGAGAAATGGAACTTGTGATGAGATGAGGTTTAGAAATGAATGGGAAACCAGGAGTGTTTTGCAGGGAGTATTAAGAAGTTCCCGGTGCCGGTGGGTCTCACTGTGCAGTGCTCAAATGCCATCTAGCGGCACCAAGCACAGGTTGGGGGTTTTGGGGGCACCGTGGTGGGCTGGGCAAGGCCAAGGGTCCAGTGGGGACCCTGGGGACATTGGGCCTGTCTGGCTTTGCAACCCAACAGCATCTGTGAAGATCTCTGGGGTGTAATATTTAGAGTTAAATGTTAAGTGGTGTAATAAGGAGGTGAGGTGTGAGCAGGAGGTTATGAAACGCATCCAAAAGAGACCTCAGGACATGGGACAGGGATCAGAGCAGAGGTCAGTACAGAAACCCTTTGCAGCACCCAGAGCTAGGGATGCTGCCTTCCCCTCCGTGGGCTTTCCATGCACAGCTCACACAAAATAGCCCAAATCCTGCTCTTCACTCACCCAGAAGATTTTTCTGGGTGAAAAACAAAGACACCCAGGGAGGATAAGCCTAAACATGATCAGAGAGCCGCTCCTCTGCCCACTGGAGTGAGTGGCTGTGCTGTGCCAGGGACCCCAACCAGCCAGAGGGGAACCTGTGCACCTCAAAAAGGCACTGGAGTCTGGTTGACACTCTGCATTCCTACAGAGCCCCCTTTTCCTGTGATTACTCCCCTGCCAGCTGCTCTCCTGGCAGGCCTGGCTGACAACCCCTGAAATCCTATTAACCGAGTTTCAGGAGAAGTAAAGTTAATCACCTCCTCCACCTGCTCTTCCTCCTTTCCCTTCTCCTCCTCCCAGCACAGAGACTTGCAGAGGCGGCCAAGCCGATGCTGTGAGGCCACTCTGGCTCTCGTGGCTGTCCCCATGGCCTGGGCTTGGTAGGGGCTGCAGGGCAGGACGGAGCCGTGCCGGGAGCGATGCCGCTGCAGACGGAGATCTTGCGTGAGGTCTGGGCTGCAGACAGGTCAGTGCCAGTGGGCAGGGTGGGATCTGTGGGGTGGGTGTTGTGCTGGACACCCCCAATGAATTCCCCTCTCCTCCAGTGCCTTTTTGTCCTGTTTTCAATTTAAACGAAATTTAGTGAGGGGTTTTATCGCAGTGGTTTTTTTCCTTTGGGGGTTGGTGGGATGATGCTCATTGACTTACAGAGAGGGAAAGTGTTTGTTAGAGGGGGATCCCCAAATTCAGCTCCTTGCTGTCCCCCTTGGCCAAGGCAGAGCTTGTCCTGTGCTCTGTGTTAGGAAGGACAATGTCAGACAAACTTGACCCAGTTGAGACAGTGGGAAATGCTACTGGAACCAAATGAAAGACGAGCTTTCACCCTTTGTCAAAAATTTAGGCAATCCCATGCCCCCGGGGTCTGTGGAGGGCTGAAAGCCCTCACCCTTTTGGTTTCTGTGCCCCACAGCCCCAGTGAAGAGCCAGGAAGCCCCCAGCAGCACAAGCCCAAACAGGTAAGAAAAAATCCTTCCCCTCCATCCCCTCTGCCACCATCCCCAAGGGCTGGGGACATCAGAGACCCTCTAACCCCAGAGTCCACACCAAGGCAAGTTTGGGGCTGGTTGGGCTGTTCTATGGGGGTGCTGCAACCTGTGAGGGCAGGAGATTTTTGGGAATCACCTTCAGAGCAGGTGGATAGAGAAAATTCCACAGCCCTCCCCTCTTTGTGCATCCTTCTGAATCCCCCCCTCCATCACTTTGAAGCACCCCATGAGGAAGGTTCCTAGTTCTCAAATAACAATTTAATTAAGCCCCTCAGTTAAGCTATAAACTGTGACTCACTTTCCCCAGGCCATGACCCTGAAAGCCAGATCCCCTTTCCCTGCATTTTGGAACAGCCCCCAGGTGCCCCCCAGCCTTGGGAGGGTCTCAGCAGCAATTTCATCCACCACCCAATTTAATTTTTAATCAGCAGCTCCTCCTTGAAGGGCTTTGTTAAGTAAGGGAGTGGTTGCCCACCCCGCAGCTGCTTAAGGGATTAAGGGGTGCAAAGGAGCTTTTCTGTGTGAGCTCATGACACGGAAGAAGGCAGCCAGTTCCCAGTTTCACCATGGAGCCCTCAGCTCCCCCTCCCCACATTCACAGTCCTGGGATCCCACTGGGATCCATCAGGATCCCAACTTTTGCAAAACACGTTCACACACTGCCTGGAGCATTTGGGAGTAGTGAAACTCCCTGCAAGGGGGAAGATGCTCTGTTGGATAGTGGAAACCTCGGTGCATCTGGATTTGCTGAGATCACTTTCTGAAAACCCTGAGCTGACACCCACTCCCCAAACACCTCCTGTCCAGAGCCAAGTGCTGACCCACATGCTCTGTATTTGGTAAATCTGGGTTATTTATGGCCCCAGCTAACCGGGATTAGGTGTGCTGTGCCTAATCCTCCTGCTTCCCTGCTCCTGCTAACCTCCTTGCCATCCACAGGAGCCTTTTGCAGGGGTGAGAGGAGATGGAGGTGAGAGGCCTGGCTGTCTGCCCATGCCTGTGTCCCCTGTCCATCTCACGTCCCCAGCATGGCCATCAGTGCCCTGAGTGGCTCCCAGGCAGGGTCCCTATGGCCACAGTGGGATTTGCTCCTCTGTGCTGACACCCTGTCACAGCAGCACCATCATCACCCCCCTCTTCTCCAGAGCTGTCCCAGGGCAGATGTTCTATCTGTCTGTCTGTCTGTCTGCCTGCTAACAGAGCTTTCTGTTTTCCTCCCTCTGCCTTCCTCGGGGGGGTGCCCCATGGTAAGTCACTCACTGGAAGGTGTCCGTGTGTCCCTTGCTCCCGTGCTGGGCCAGGGGAAAGTCCGACTGTATTTCTGAAAGGGACCCAGTGCGGTGTGAGCAGGGGGTGCCTGGTAAAGGGGAAAGGTGTTTAAGGCTGGCACCACCTCTGCAGCATCACCCTGAGGGCAGAAGCTGAAGAAGAAGAGGCAGGAGCCTGGGCTGGAGCCCGAGGCCAAACCACGGCGGCCGCGGGTGAAGAAGCTAAGCGAGGCAGGGGCTGCACAGGAGCCTCCAGCCCAGGCACAGGGTGAGCACAGATCCCCCACAGCTCCCCTGGAAATGGAAAATGGGGCGCCCCATCCTGCACCTGAGGCGCTCTCCAATCATGGGCGTCTTTTGAAATGCGCAGGGGTGAAGAAGGTGAGGAAGAAGAAGGAGGAGAAGGGGGAGGAGGAGAGCGACAAGGATCCCTCCTCCAAATTCACCAAGGAGCCTCGGAAGAAAGAAAGCCTGGCTCCCCGCTCCCAAGTGGCCAAAGGCTCCAAGAAGCCACAAGGTGCGAGAGCAACACCCACCCCTCTGCGGGCAGTCGTTCGTGTCACCTCGTGTCCCCTTGTCCCGAGAGCGCCGGGCGTGCTCCCAGTGCTCCCAGAGCCTGCTGGGGTCTCTGCACATCCCCGGCACAGCTTTGTGGCTAAAACCCAGCTACGGACCCGGGAGAAACGGGGACGTGGCAGGGGAGCCGCGCTCATTGCTTTGCTCGGGGAGTTGATATGGAGAGGAAGAGGGGGAAAGGGGGGTGACACGCTCGAACACGAAGGGAAGGTGGCACTTAGGTCCCCGCACACTTCTCTGGAGCGGAAAGTGGCTCCGCAGGGCGAGGCTGCGGCCGCGAGAGAGCGCTGCGGCTACACCCGCACTGCCCGGCGCTGGACACGACCCGCGGCAGCCGGACAGCGCAGCCGGGCCCCTCGGCCACCGCCCGGAGACAGCATGGGCCACAGCCCGGGGACAGCATGGACCACTGCCAGGGGACAGCATGGGCCACAGCCCGGGGACAGCATGGGCCACTGCCAGGGGACAGCATGGGCTGGGGACAGCATGGGCCACAGCCCGGGGACAGCATGGGCTGGGGACAGCATGGGCCACAGCTGCCCCCAGGGACCCTCCTCACTCACCACGAGGCTGGGATCCCCCACTGCCTACGGACCCGGGAGAAACGGGGACGTGGCAGGGGAGCCGCGCTCATTGCTTTGCTCGGGGAGTTGATATGGAGAGGAAGAGGGGGAAAGGGGGGTGACACGCTCGAACACGAAGGGAAGGTGGCACTTAGGTCCCCGCACACTTCTCTGGAGCGGAAAGTGGCTCCGCAGGGCGAGGCTGCGGCCGCGAGAGAGCGCTGCGGCTACACCCGCACTGCCCGGCGCTGGACACGACCCGCGGCAGCCGGACAGCGCAGCCGGGCCCCTCGGCCACCGCCCGGAGACAGCATGGGCCACAGCCCGGGGACAGCATGGGCCACTGCCAGGGGACAGCATGGGCTGGGGACAGCATGGGCCACAGCCCGGGGACAGCATGGGCTGGGGACAGCATGGGCCACAGCTGCCCCCAGGGACCCTCCTCACTCACCACGAGGCTGGGATCCCCCACTGCCTAAGGACGTTGCGTTGGCTGATGCCATGGTCACCTCTGGGCAGAACCAGCTGAGGATGAGGATGATGAGGAAGAGGAAGAAGAGGTGGAGAATAAAAACCCACCGAAAAAGCTCAAGAAGAAGCTTCCCAAAGAGCCCCTCTCAGGTGGGGGGGAGAAGAAGCTGAAGACAAAGGGTGAGTGCCCAGGGGACAGGGATGGCTTTAGCCCAGCTCTGTTGCCACTGGCATCTGTCCTTGCTGGGATGAGGGCAGTGCCTTGCACCCCGTTCCTGTCACTGTCCTGGGAGGCTCACGGGGCTGCAGAGCCATCACCCCCTCCCCATGCAATCTCCCCCCGGCTCAGCCCTTCCTGCTGCTCCAATCCTGTCACATCCTTGTCCCCATCACTGCCCATTCCCATCCCTTTGCCTGGCTGGTCATCAGCCCCTCTGTCCCAGCAGAAGACAAGAGTGACCCTGACAGCAAAGCCAAATCTGCCAAAAGCACCAAGAAGGAGCCAATGTCCATGTTCCAGGTGAAGAAGGAGAAGAAAAGCAAGAAGAAAGGTATGGGATGAGCAGGAGGGGGTGGCAGCCAGTCCTGCTGCCTGCTGGCATCACCCTGAGCCAACAGCACCCAGTGTTGTATGACCATGTCCCCCATGTCCCTCACAGCTGCCACCAGCAGCGATGAGGAGGATGATTCCGACTCCAGCACCAAGCCCATTAGGTCAGAGAAGAAAAACCCAGCATCCCTCTTTCAGACTGGTGGGGACCCCCCAAAAGAGAAAAAATCCAAAAAGAAAGGTGAGAGCCTGGCACTGGAGGGTGGTGGGCTCGGGCAGGGTTTCTGGAGGTGCAGTAAGTTTGGCCATGGAGAGGGGGTTACAACCTTTATGTTGGCACGGGTCTGTGCTGTGCTTGATTTTGGGACTCAGTTGAGTCAGGATCTTCTCCCTTCTGTGCCCCTGTCTGTTCCTGCCCACAGTTCCTCCCAAAGGGGCTGAGAGTGAGGAGGAGACCCCAGAGACCCTGCAAAAAAACTCCAACAAGAAGGGGAAAGCAAAGAAATCAAAGAAGGTACAAAAGACCCCTCAGAGCCAGGGGGATACCCCCAGGGTGGGGGAAGAGCAGCTCTTCCCCTCAGGGTGGGTCAGGTTTGCAGCATCCCCCAGTGAGACCCACCAGAGTGTCCCCAAAGCCACCAGAGCCCAAGGGGATGGATAGCAAGGAGCAATTAGCTGGGGAAAGAGGGGGGCTCTGGGATCACCATCCTCTCACACAGCAGCAGAAGGAGGAGAGGCCTCCATCCCCTGTCATCGAGGTGGACAACCTGGAGGAGTTTGTGCTGCAGCCAGCGCCACAGGGGGTGACCATCAAGTGCCGGGTGACACGGGACAAGAAGGGCATGGACCGGGGACTTTACCCCACCTATTACCTTCACTTGGACAACGACAAGAAGGTGATTTGGGGTGGGGGCATAGAGACCCCTGGGGCTCTGCTTATCCCAGGGAGCACACTCAGGGTTCTGGGGGGATGCTCACCTGCATCTCCCTGTGCTGGTGTGTCCCGAATGAGGCTGCTCCCCTCTCCTGCCGTTCCTCCCAGGAAACGTCCCTGTGGATGGTACCTGGGATGATGAGCTAACAGTGGCTAGAGAGCTAAAGCTGGGCTGGTCTCAGCCCCTCCTGCCCTGTAATGCAGACAGTATCTTGGGCATCATCTTCATGACTTGCTCAAGGTCATGGCAGTGACTTGTTGGGGGACAGCAGTGGCCATGGCAGTGACAATGTCCCATTCCCACACGGTCCCACCACTCTACCAGGTGTTCCTCCTTGCTGGGAGGAAGCGTAAGAAGAGCAAAACCTCCAACTACCTCATCTCCATTGACCCCACTGACCTGTCACGGGGTGGAGAGAACTTCATCGGGAAGCTGAGGTAGGAGCAGAGGTGATACCCCAGTTTGATGGCACCCCATTTCTGCAGCACCCTTCTCCCACTCCATGGCTTACAGGCTGTCCCAAGCTATGGCTGGGGCAGGCAGGAAGCTAAATTCAGCATTCTGCAGTGTCTGACCTGAGGAGTGGTGGGGGGCTGAGAGGGGAAAACAAGCTTGGCCGGTTCCTCCCAGCAAACAGGTCATGGCTAGAAAAGGCGCCTGGCAAGTCCCAGCCTGCACTGCCAGCAGCCACAGCAATGCTGGGGGTCCCCGTGGTGGCAGCATCTTATCACACACCAATTTAGGGATTCCTTGAACCCAAGAAAATCACTGGAGAGTGGGAATGTCAGCATTGGTGGGGTGCAGCACCAGGGGTTTGCAGCCAGACCAAAGCCAAGGCTGTGCCTGGAGATGTCACGGAGGGGGAGGAGGGGACTCAGCGGCATCAGCCACTGCCATCTCCCACCCTTGGCTGCAGGTCCAACCTGATGGGTACAAGGTTCACCGTGTTTGACAACGGCACCAACCCCGACAGGGCCAACGCTGACTGGTCCAACGTGCGGCAGGAACTCTCGGCCGTGGTCTACGTAAGAGCAGCCACACAGGGAGCCCCTGCCACCCTGCACCCCTTCACTGGGACTTGCAGAGATGTGGGATGGGCTGCAGCCACCCCTGAGCTCTCATTCAGCTCCCCGAGAGGCTGTAACCTGCAGTGGTTGCTGGTTTTAGAGACAGTTTCTCTTGCAGGAGACCAATGTTTTAGGGTTCAAAGGCCCCCGGAAGATGACTGTCATCATCCCTGGGATGAACACTGACTGTGAGAGGGTGCCCATCCGGCCCCGGAACGTAAGTCAGGGTCAGACTTGGAGAAACTCCTTGGGAGCTGGGTTTGCTGGGCACCACCTTGGATTTTACCCATCTTGAGGCATGGAGAGGCTTTCGGGTATCCCTGAAACTCAAGGTGCCCCTGGGAAGTGAGACATTGTGTCTGTGTTTTTTCTCCATGATCCCATTTCCAGCTGGGTACTGCTACAGAGCATTCCCCAGCAAGCCACAGGAGGTGGCAGGGCTCTGGAGGGGTCACCCCAACTCTGCTGCACTCCCCTCTTGCCCCTCTCCAGGATAACGATGGCCTCCTGATGCGATGGCAGAACAGGAACATGGACAACGTGATCGAGCTGCACAACAAAGCCCCAGTGTGGAACGACGAGACCCAATCCTACGTCCTCAATTTCCACGGCCGGGTCACCCACGCCTCCGTCAAAAATTTCCAGATCGTGCACAGCAGTGACCGTAAGCTGGGATGGGGGTGGGATGGGACAGGGGATAGGGTGGGGGAGAACTGCCTCATGAGCTGGCCCCACTGTTTCTGATGACTTTTTTCATGCTCTGGGGTCCTGCCTGCCTTTGCTGGAGCTGGGATGAAGCCGGACAGGCACCCCACAGGAGATGGCAGGGGCTTCTGTTGCCAGGCAGATTTAGGGCAAGGACAGATCCTGTGGGGTGCTGAGCCCCCATGACACTGCAGCCACCCACTCAGCACAGGGCACTGTCCCCAGCACACACCCCACACTGCTGGCAGGCTCACCCTGGGGTGCACGGGGACGGTCCCTCGGGGGTGGCAGCAACTCTGTCTGGATGCGGCTGCTCGTCACCTGTCCAGCGCAGTCAGAAGCCCTTGGCCTCTGGGGTGTTGGATTACGGGACAGAAAAAGCCTCTTGAGGGCCCCTGGTTATTTTTACAGATTTCCTGTCACCCGCTCTCCAGTAGCAGCGATCCCATGGTCCGGGGGGGTGGGGTGAGTGGGGTCCCTGTCCCTTGGGGGGCTGTGGCAAACAGGGAAGGGGGTGCTGGAGGCACCAAAGGGTGCCACGGCCCGTACAATGGGACAATTATGCTTTTTGGTGATTGGTGCTGCAGTACCAGCGCAGGAGCCGCAGACTGAGTTTGGGTGGAGGTGCGTGGGCAGCTTCTTTCTGGGGGAAGGCAGGCTGGGTGCCCCAGTGCTGCCCCAGTGGCTCTCCCTCTCTCCCACAGCCGAGTACATCGTGATGCAGTTCGGGCGTGTGGCGGATGACGCCTTCACCATGGACTACAACTACCCCCTATGCGCCGTGCAGGCCTTTGCCATCGCCCTCTCCAGCTTTGATGGGAAGCTGGCCTGCGAGTAGCACCTGCAGCGGGGCTGCCGGGACCAGCGGGGCTGCCTGCCTGTGCCCGGAGGATGTTCCTGCATCCCTGTCCTGTTCCGCTCCCTGCATTTTCACCTTCTTGCAGTCACGGTTGTTCCTGGGGTGGTTCAAGGCATCTGGTTCCCACTGAGGATGCTCACCTGGCTGCAGCCACTCTCTCCAGGCAAATTTGTGGCAAGTTGTTGGGCTGGGGTGATGGCAGAGCCAAGCTGGAGGTATATTCATATTCAGCAGATGAGGCTGACTGCAATCCCTGTCTCATCCCTTTGGACTCAGATCCTGGAAACTCATCCCCACCCCGCTTTTATTATTTTTTTTTTTTTTTGGTATGGTTTGGATCTTTATGCTCATTCTCCCAGTGAGAAAGGGGTAGGTGGTCTCCCCACTTTGTGTTTCCTCATCCCTACCCACATGCAGGTGGGGTCTGCCTAAGCTCCCAGCTAAAGACCCCCATCCCAGCTCATTGGCCACCAGGCACAAAGCCCCTCTTTGGCCTCATTTTGCCCTGGTGTGAGGGGATGGCTGGTGCCCATGGTGTGTTTGTACCCACTGGGTCTCACCACACTGCCCAGAAAATGCTGGGGATTTGGGTCCCTAAGAAGCAGCCTGGCACCAGCAGCGCACAGGCATGTGCTGAGGGGTGACAGTGCCAGCAGAGGAGGGCTGGCAGGCACATGAGACAGAGTTTGCACTGCTGGCAGGTGGCCCAGCTGGGTCAATGCTGCTAGGAGAGACCTGGAAGAGAAAACTCAGGGTGCACCAGGAAGAAGTGGAGTGACTCATGAGGTGTGGTGCAGTGCTGAGTCACGCTCAGCACCCAGACAGGCCCTGCTGAGCTCCCCGTGCCCTCAGCTTTCGCTGCTCCTCTACTCTGTGACACCTCTGCAGACCCCACGTGCCCCAGATGTCCCCACAGCTGCCTCACTGGTGCTCTCTGTTGATGAGAGATGGACAGAAGGTGCCATCCCCTGCCTCAGGCTGGTGGGGAGCTGGGGTGACACCAATGCAGGGAGGCATTGGGAAGGGAGATGCTGAAGAGAGGCAGCTCAGTGGGAGCAGGACAGCTCATGTCCCCAGTTTCACCAGTTATGGGGTGAGGATTTGGCTGCACAAACAGTCCCAAATCTGATTAATTCAGTGGTGAGAAAAACAGGGACATGACAAGGAGCCTTGGAACACTGTCCTCAGCTCTCTGGTCACGTTTTTCTCACCTGCTCAGCTCTCCCGCTGACTTATGTGGGATTGCCTTCGCAGTACACAAAGGGGTTGCTCCCCAATTCTGGGGGTGATACAAGCCCCCCAGGTTAATGCAGCTGAAAGGCAGCTGCAGCAGAAAGGCTGAGGAGCAGATGGATGAGATGGATGTGATTGTGCAAGAGGGATGCTTATCCTCTCTGGGCAGCGTCACATCACCGTGGCCTGGCCTGTCTGCTTGGGGCTGAGGGCAGATGACAGTGACAGGGGGACCATTGGTGAACATCTGCCCCTTTGCAGATGGGAGTGGAGACTTTCCCCAGCTGTATGATTCTGGGCCTCATGATTCACAGGCAGATGCTCGTGGTGGGGCAGGCAGAGGTGGACAGCTTGGGGACAAGCCAGCCCGCATGGGACATCACCCATTATACACGCTCAGAGAACATCTTGTGAGCCAGAGGGAGAACCAGCAACAGCAGTTCGGGGCCAGCATCTCTGGTGAGGTATGGCCAGCAAATGTGGGGAAAGCAAGAGCTTTCTGCCCAAATCCAGCCACAAACCCAACATCTGTTTGAAATCGGGATGAGCTCAGCTAACAATTGAGCTAATACTTGTCCCCATTTCCTCCAATGCAAGGAGAAAAGCAGCAGGGTGAGAGAGAGGTGTTTGGGCTCCCCAGGTTCTGTCTGCTGTTATCCCCAGGTTGATTCTCCCTCTCCTCACCCAAAACATTTCCATTTTCCATTTGCCCATTGTTGCTTGCAAACCCTTCAGGTTTCCTGGCCTGTTGTCCATGGCAGAGCAAAGTCCCTGCCACGGGTGTCCCATGCAGTGTCACTCAACCTCAGAGCAGCCGCTGCATCAGCCCACCCGAAATCCCTTTTACAAACCCTCTAACGCAAACCAACTGTGGCAGAAGAAACAAATGAAAACAATTTAATAGGGCGATGGATATTTGGGCCCTTTGTTTGTGCTGGCTGTTAACACCAGAGGAGATGAGGGATGGAAGCAGTTGAAATGTGTATCTACTTTGGCCGGCGGAAAGTGTGACGGATGCGTCGGCAGACCAATGGCTGAGGATGCTGGGGTGTGCGTGGGTGTGAAAGGAATGCTCGCTGCAAGAAAAGATAAAAAAAAAGAAGAAAGAGCCTTATCAATGGTGTTTGAGTCCAAAGTGTGTGTATTCCTTGGAGAAAGGGTTTCCTCAATCCCCGGGGATAATGTTTTCCCTGCAATGTGAGACTTTGAGGTTTCTGAAGCTTCATTTTAGGGGCACTGGCACTGGGCTGGTGCTGCAGGCATGGATTTAACCCCACAAAGTGCTCGTGCAGGGGCACAAGCGTGGCCAGTGGCCAGAGGTGACTGTCGTCAGCTCCTCAAGGGAACCTCCTGGGAAATGCGTTTTATTTTTGCAGAGATGCTTATAAGGCAAAGGGGAGGAAAAAAATAAGGCCTCACCTCAGTGCTGAACTGCACATCCCAGGCAGGAGCAGTGTCACTGCAATGCTGGCAGCTCTCTCCGGGGTTCATCCCCATCCCACGCCAATGAGTGGAAAGATGCTGCTCCAGAGCTGAGCAGGAAGGTGGATATGAGGGCTCTTCTCCAGCTGCTGGCTTCTCCCTCTTCTGCAGACCCCTGGGGTTTGGGGGGCTCCATGCACCCAGTTCTGAGTCCCACTCTCTTGAGGGGGCTGACAGATATTTCCATGGGTCCCAGGAGGCAAACGTCCCAACGGGAAGGAAGGAGGGAAGGGCTGGGACATCCTGGGGAGTGCAGGAGGGGAGACCAGCCCTGGGAAACTCCTTGTCCAGCAGTGGAAGGGCTGGAGCTGTTTGGTTCCCAGCAAGCTGCCCTGGCCCCAGCCCTGCGGGATCTCTCTTCAGCTTTGAAGTGGTGATACTTTAATTAATAAAAGAAGTTATTGTGACGAGGTGTTCTTCTGTTCCCTCCCCCTCCCCTTGTATTTATTTTGGTAACATTTTTTAGAGGGAAAGGCAGACTCATTGCTGATTAGCTCAGCTGTGGCTTTGCAGGATGGGCTCCTTCTCGATGCAGCAAGCCACAGGCAGCAATGGGAAAGCCAGTATTTTTCAACTGCTTTTTAAAAGGAGTCATTTTTTAATTAGTGAATCCATTCTGGAGAAGTGTTGGAGTTTTACAATGTTGTAGCTGTTCTTGGTGTCTTGCCTAGACTTGGATGTTCTGGCCATAAGAAAATATTATTTATGGTGTTGCAGCTTGCAGCTCTTTTATATTATAATTTGAGAAAGGAAGTTGCTGTTCCCACCAGCGGACAAAAAAATAGCAGAAACAAGGGCTATGGACTTCTGAAGCAGGAAAATAAATAAAAATTAAGAGGCAGAATGGAAACAAACCACTGAGCCAGCCTTGAATCTTTGCACTCCTGAACAAGCTCATCCCAGCATCACTATCAGTTGTGCTGGATGCTGTAGCGAGTCCCCTGTCCAAATGGCAAGGCCAGAGCAGCAGTGACCCCCTCAGCACTCCCCTGCTCAGTGTTACATGTGTTCCTAAACATTTGTGGATCAGGCTTTTTATTCATGGGCTAATCCACACTTGTTTGCTCATGCCTTACTCAGCCTAAACTCCTATTGAACTCAATTAAAGCTGTCATCTCCAGGAGCACTCAATGTCATTTTTGCCCAAGTAAGGGATGAGTAACGAGGCTCTGAACAGCCCTTGGAGAATAACAGCCATTTTGTTGCAGTTTTTGGTCCAGATTTCTTACAAGTTAGCAGCAGGCCAAGGGTGGAAGAATGTGATATGGCTTTATGAATCACACACAATTGCTGAATGCGCTGGATGCTTCAGAGCCTGTCACTTCATGGACTGAAGCATTGGCTGTCTTGTCCCAAAATGCTTGAATACAACCAAGCTCATGATGAAAATTAGAAAAATATGTTTCTAGAAGGAATGGGATGCAAAGAACATCCTTTCTCCAATCAGGGCGCCGGGAGGATTCCTCACCCTAATTTATCTCTGGGGGTTTTGGGTACTGTGACACAGGCCTGTGGTGTGTGCTGGCCCAGTGGCCTTGGGGACTGAGGGTTTTGCCCCTTTTGGGGCTGCAGTTCCTGATGGTCAGGCTGGGTTGTGGCCAGGGACTCGTATGTGATCTGCTTTGCTGTGGCTTAGCACGTTACCACCCACCAGCTCACCCAGAGGAAGTGACCATGGCCTGGATCCTGGCTGAATTCCCTTAAGAAATCCCAACAGCATGGGCTGAAATCCCCATCCTGGGCAGCATGGTCACTGTGTGTGTATGTGTGTGTGAGGATGAGGAGAGGGATGAAGGTGTTTGGAGGGGGATGCAGATGTCAGGATGGGAACTAACAGGAGGATGAAGATGTGTGGTAGGGCAGTGTGCAGAGGACAATGAAAATGTGCAGAAGGGGATGGAGGTGAGCACAGGGATGATAGTGAGTGAAGCAGGGCAGGAATGAAGAGTGGGATGAAGGTGAGCACAGAGGGTGATGAAGATGTGCAGAAATGGATGAAGGTGTGCACGGGTGACCCTGGCTGGCTGCGGACGGGACAGGACAAGACGAGAGAGCAGCACCGTCGTGCCCTGGCCCAAGGCCACATCCCAGACTGCATCCCGGGAATGCCAGAGGGGGAAGGGGGAAGAGGAGGAAGGTGAAGAAGGCTCATAGAGGCCGCTCCCATAACTCGGGCCGGGCCGAGCCGAACTCCAGGGATGCCCTTTCCCAAAAAAAAAAAACTTCCCTGTGTAAGGGAAGTCCCGCGTCCCCACTGCCCGCTGCCCCGACGGGGAGGTCGGGAGAGTCGGGCGGGAGGAAGGGCCGGGAAAAGGAGAAGGAGGAGGAGGAGGAGGTGGAGAAGGAGGTTAGGGGAGGAGAGGAGGCCCAGCCCGGCCCCGCCGCCTCCTGATTGACTCCCAACTTTCTGCTCCTCCCTCGCATAAACTTTCCCGTCCCTGTGCCTGGCTCCGTGCGCGGACCCGAGAGCCCGCCGCGCTGCCCGCATT